TTTATCCAAATCGAACCCGTTCTCTTGCAGAGAAAACATAACGTCTCTTTAGTCATGTCGTTATTCATAAATTATAGTAATATTTTATTCGTGTTTAGTATTTTTGAATTTTGTGGTTTCATATATATCACGTGAAAATTAACGATTACCTAGAAAAGTAAGTAACTTCTAAATGAGGTTAGTTTTTTCCTTTCTTTGAGACGAATCTTTAAAAGTCTTTATGGCCTGACACAGTGTTAGCATCGGATCTTAAATTGAATTGATCGTATCTATACAATGTTCATCAATGATGGTTTATTAGAGATCTCGAATTCTTCCACATTGATTGAACCTTTGAACTTATCTCAACTCTGTCTTATCCGATCACATTCTGGTGTTCCAACTCGTGCTATCGGAGTTAGATAGATTTTCGTGATATGACACACTAATCTTGATATGTCTCGACTCCAAATCTTTCATGTATAGAATTATCAAAATCAATTTCATTTTAAATTATTTTTAACCTATATTCTTCTTATCATATATCGTTTGTTTTCTAATATGTCCACATGTCCAATCTGATTTTTACACATAAGTTAATAGGAGTACTTAGGGGTGTCAAAAATGAACCCAAACATAGGTAATCCGCACAATCCGCCCAGAATTTTATGGGTTGGACTCAAGATAATTTGAATTGGGTTCAATTTCAACTCATTCAAGCCTAACAATTTTAAGAAAATCCTCAATTGAGCCCAATTCAATCTCCAATTTCAACCCGTTTTAAAACTCTTTACTAAGATATGTTCCTATATTAAAGGTATGGATTATTATATATTTAACATCTTTTAGGATTTATCTATCCATTTGTTACTTTAAAAAAAAAATCTTGAGCGGAAATTCCAGCTATAATCTATCATTATAAAAATAATCGAAAATACTCCTCAATTTGATGTAAATTATTAGTTTTATACTCGAATTATTAACAACTTTAAAAACACTTTTCTACTTGACTAACTAAACTTAAATACACCCTGATGTTACAACATAAGTGAAATACACCCTTAAATTCTCGTCAAATTTAGGAGTATATATTTTCAATACTGCTCTCGACTATTTATTATTAAGAGCCTCATGTTCCTAAAAGAGTTTGAGACTACCTTCTATATCATGAATGTATTTAAGTTTAGTTAATTAAGTAATAAGTGTTTTTAAAGCGCTATCGATAATTCAAAAATAAATTAATAATTTGTGTTAAGTTCAGAGGTATCATCGCCAATGAGTTGACTCATTTACATTGGGGTATATATTTTCATGGGATGAGCATGACTCAGGGGCGGTTCAAACCCGTTGATGGCCTAAGGCCACAATCAACTTAGAGGCCTTAAAAAATATTAAAAAATTATAATTTTAAAATATTAACTATCCATAGAACAAGTAAATTCTTAAGCTTTAATAAGAGAGAGATGTAAAATTAGAAAAGAGAAAGTGAGAAGAAATAGAAGAGAAGAAGATATGAGGATAGAATATATAAAAATAAAATTAGACAAAGAATAAGGTAAAAATAAAATAAAATAACTTATACATTAAAAAAAAAATACACAACTTTTTATTGGAAAAATAAAAAGTAATTGTCATATCTATCACTTCATTAATGCCATTTTCATTTATTGTTGTTCTAATTTTTTATTTTTATTTTTAATGTAATTCTACCTAATTAACTAAAAAATGAGCCCCCCTAAAATAAGGCGAATGCTTTTTTTTTTAAACCCTTACCAGCCGTCCCTGGCATGACATGACTGCATGAGATCTCTCTGACTTCTCTCATGTGAGTGGGGTTTTAAGTTAGAAGAAAGTCCGTCTCACTTTATATGGTATCGTATTATTTTAAGGGTTAAATTTTTATATTTTTTAAAAGTAAAATTAATATTTAAAAATTATATTATAAGTTATAATTACTGACAATTCAAATATTTAAAATTAGAAATATGTAAAAAGTGCAATCTCAGAAAAGTTATTTTCGTAAGATTTAGAGATTATAAGTTTGAGTAGTGAAAGTCGGTACTAATATTTGAATTATGATAAATTGTCTACATCACATCTTTTAAGGTGTAATCCTTTCCCAGATCTTACTTACACGATATATTTTGTACACTAAGCTATTCTTCTTTTACAAATGAAAAAAATTGTGACTTAAATAACATTTGACTTTTTTTTGAATAAAATCATATAAATTGAGATGCAAGGACTGTAATACTTAAATGCAAAAACTTAGACTGGTACATTGTTCCATGAATGTAGATTAATTTTGGTGGTAATATTTATACCGTTCAATGCATCAAAAGCACTTATGTAGATCTGACCTATCCCAGATGGTGGGCTTCTATATATTTCTTATTATAAATTATTAAAAAAAAAAATGTTTTCATTTTTCTTACCTTTTTCAGGTGATCTCAGGGCGGCTCTGCCTTATAAAAGTTAAGGCATGTGCCTTAGGCCCTTAATTTTGGAAGGCCTCAAATTTTTATCAAGAATAAATTATGTGTTATTTTTTTATTAAAAAAATAATTATTTATAATAAAAAGTATATATATATATATATATTTATTATTATTATTATTATATTTCTTTTCTAACATTCACATTATTTATTTTTTAAAACTCATTTTTGCTTAAAGTCTGTCAAACTTATTGCTTATAGAATTGTGCTAACAATTCATATAATGATTGCTTTAATAAATAATATTTTTCAACGTTAATTGATAAAATTTTACCTAAAACTAATCATTTTAAATAAAAAGAAGTACTCGAAAAAATCATTTATAAAAATAATTAAGTAATAATTTGCATCTAAATAGTTATAAAAATAATTTTTAAAATAAATATATATGAAATTTGTTAGACCTCAATTGAAATTTTGCTTTAGGCCCCCAATTACGTTGAGTATCCCCTGAGTGATCTTTACTCCCTCTGTTCTTAATTTACTTGTCCATTTTTTCTTTTATAGTTGTTCCTAATTACTTGTCCATTTTAATAAATTAAGAAAGGATAAATTCTTTTTACCTATTATATTCTCAATTAAATGACTAATTACTTTGAAAATTGTAGAACTTTTCATCCACTTCATGATTAATAGAGGTAAAATGGTAAATTCATTATATCATTAATTATTTTCTTAATAGGTGTGTCAATTCAAAAGTGGACAAGTAATTAGGGACAAGGAGTAACTTTTTTTTTTTTGGAAATATAATTTTCTTAAGAGGAGAGTATTTTTCCAATTATTTTCAGTTAGTCAAAGATGCTTCGAATATTATAAAGGTAATGTTCTCTGACTTACATATTCAAAAATGATTTCAAGTTATATATATATATATATATATATAGGGATAAGGGTCTGAAAAATATCCCAACTTTGGTCAAATTTACTGTTGTGATACTAAACTTTCATAAGGACCTATTACTTCCCTAGACTATTTCATACCGTATTTTTTACCCCATGAACTATTTAATAATGTATTTTAAAGGTATATATGTGCCCGCGTGGACACATTACTATTTATAATTTTGCATTTTTTTTATGTCCATGTGGGCAAATATATATGTTTAAAATACGGTATTAAATAGTCTAGGGAGGTAATAGGTCCTCATGAAAGTTTGGTATCGCAACAACAAATTCGACCAAAGTTGAAATATTTTTTAGACCCTTATCCCATATATATATATATATATATATATAGTGTAACAGACTAAAAAGTAATTATATCACATAAATTAAAATGAAAGAAGAATGTATAGTATCTTTTTAGGATGTATAGTATCTTTTTAGGTGTGGTAGATATATTCCCCTCCGTCCATAATTATTTATTCATGTTTAATTGACATATTTACTATAGAAAACATAAAATTAACTACAAAATTTATGGATAATCCTAAGTTAATTCGTTGTTAAAAAATTTCTAACCAATTGAATTTTTTATAATCTATCACTAATTCATAGCTAAATGGATTGACATACAATTTTTGTTGTTTAACAACAAAATTTTATCCACCGTTAATTTCTTATATTTTAGTAGTGATATCTCTTACAAAGCAATAGATAAAATAATTATTTTATTATATTATTTTTATTAATTATTATAAATTATTTAAATATTATGATATGAATTATATTTAATAATAAAAGGTAAAATAAGAATAAAATGATATAATTTTTCAAATTCAACAAGTAAAAGTGAACAATTTTTTTTAGTATATAAAATTTAAAAGTAAAATTGGACGGAGGGAATATCAAATATGAAACTAAAAAAAGGAAAGAGAAGGTTTACCAACTTTCGTAGTGCTACATCAGTATATAATATAAAATATTAAAACAGCGTATTGACATACAATTTTTGTTGTTTAACAACAAAATTTTATCCACCGTTAATTTCTTATATTTTAGTAGTGATATCTCTTACAAAGCAATAGATAAAATAATTATTTTATTATATTATTTTTATTAATTATTATAAATTATTTAAATATTATGATATGAATTATATTTAATAATAAAAGGTAAAATAAGAATAAAATGATATAATTTTTCAAATTCAACAAGTAAAAATGAACAATTTTTTTAGTATATATAATTTAAAAGTAAAAGTGTACGGAGGGAATATAAAATATGAAACTAAAAAAAGGAAAGAGAAGGTTTACCAACTTTCGTAGTGCTACATCAGTATATAATATAAAATATTAAAACATCATACTATATAATTAATAATAATAATAATAATTTCCTTACAAGTTGTTATATATAGCATTCCCAATGAGCTTTATTGTAGTCCGTTCCCAATATATATCACTATTTTATTTCCCTCTCAATATTTCTTCTCCAAAAAAATCAAATAGACTATAGTAGTTGTTAGATCTTTTGCTTTAATTATCATCAAACTTTTGATCTGCGTACATTCTGATCTTTCCAATAACAAACATCAGTAATCTTTTTCTTTTCTTTACTCTATAAAGGAGAAAAAGTCATATATATGGATAGTATTGACTTGCTCAAATCCTCACCTTGTGAAGATCAAATGGAAATGTTCATGATGCAAATGGAAAATGAAATGCCAATGTTGGACTATAGTCCACGACGAAGCAATAACAACAACAATAATAATAATATTAATCGTAATAATTTCTTTGAAATTATCGATCATCATAATTCACCATCCACATTTTTGAACAATGTGCCATCATCTACCATTCCATTCAATGACTCTAGATCTCCTCAAATAATTCATCAAGAATCTTCAATAACCCTTCCTTTCTTGGAAAATTCGAGTCGTAGTAATGGGAAGTGGAGTACTTCTGTTAAAGGTAACTATAAAGAACAAGTATCCATTGCCTCGCATTTGAGTACATTTCCTTCACATACATTGAAGCGAAATTCTATGGTGGCTATGAGAGAGATGATTTTTAGAATAGCTGCAATGCAACCAATTCAAATCGATCCATCATCCGGTAAGAATTTTTGTAGTCCTTGTGTGTGGCTCTATCTATATTTCAGATAAACGTGCCCTCAAGCTAATGACTTTGGGTGCAACTTGCATTTAGAGGCTTGATAGTTCATGTTATATTTCCATTCATACCACTATCAAAAAATGAAAATAGCCATTAACTAATTTGTCTTTTTAATGTGTTGTTAATTTACTATTGGGGATTATCAACAAATTTTATTGTTTGACTATTGAATTTGACCCTCATTAATTTTTGTTTTTTCTAGTAGTGGTTTTTTTTAATTGATGTGAAAATCAAGATATATATTGACTTGTTTCTCTTTTTTTGTTCTTATTGTTAACATAGATTATGTTTTCTTGTTATTTATTGTGGATATTATTTCTGGCTGATTAGTAAAACACCCAAAAGAAGGAACATGAAGTTATCGACCGATCCTTTATCAATGGATATTGTATAACTATTAAACTTGACCGTCATTAATTTCTATTTTTAGTAATGATTTTTCCTTGATGTGAAAATCGAGATATTTGTTGACTTGTTTCTTTTTTGTACTCATTGTTTACTACTCCATATTTGTTGTTTTTTCTTGTTATTTACCGTGGATATTATTTCTGGATGATTAGTAAAAGCGCCCAAGAGAAGGAACGTGAAGATATCAAGCGATCCTCAAAGCGTGGCGGCACGCCATAGGAGAGAAAGGATAAGTGAAAAAATAAGGATACTACAAAGATTAGTACCAGGTGGAACAAAAATGGACACAGCATCAATGTTAGATGAAGCAATTCATTACATGAAATTCTTGAAGAAGCAAGTTCAATCTCTTGAAAAAGTTGAAGTTAATAGACATATGCCAATGTCATTAAGTAGTAATTATTTACCTAATTATTACCCTTGTCATCAAAGTGTTCAACCCTAGATAGATAGATAGTTATGTTTGAGTGACAAATATTGAATAATGAGTTCTTGTTTTTAGTATAAATTCATGTGGGGTAGTAAAATTGAAAGGATAATATCAAATACAGAAGAAAAAGTTTTTCTCTTAGAGAGGCGTTTTCTTCGCTTAGAAAAGTGTTCCTTCTCTCAAGGGATTTTCATTACTCAACTAACTCTCGAGGCTTGGTATTTTTGTTTTAAAAAGTAGAGTCACTTCTTATGATATATAATTATAAAGTTTAAGTTTATATATAGCATGTAAGTTGTACTACTAGAGAAATAATAAAAGTTCATAACCATGTTTTTATATAGTGAATTCATGATGATTTCACAACAAAGTTGTGTGTTTTTACGTGTGAATTTTTTAGAATTAATCTAATATTATTAAGACTACTAAAGCCCTTATGATTCAAAAAAGTTGATGATACACTTAATTGAGTATTTTTTTAAAAGTAATAGCTACGGATAGATTCTCACTTCGCACTTCTTTTTTCCTCATATTTTATAAGTAATGTAGGCATGTTCTAGAAATTGTAAATCTACTTCCGTCTATGAATGTAATAATTTGTGTTAAGAATATAGTAAAAATATGATTTACTTAATATTAATTCTATACTAATAGCCACAAAAAATCTCAATTATTCCACCCAACATGGAGGGTGTGATTCAAGTGAAGAACTATTAATCTTTTTTTCATTCTTAATAGGATATCTCGGATTGAATTCTTGAGAATGGAAGAAATCATGTTAGAGGCATTGCTCAAAAAATGAGTTATACAATACACAAATTTAAATTTAATCGAATCTTAATATATAAGTGTTAATGCACAAGAAGTCCACGTGAATGACTGACATTTTTGGCGGTGGTCTTTTATGATATTGTAATATTTTTTTTAATGATATTGTTTTTAAACATTTATGAACCATGAAACGATGTCGTTTTATCATTTGGCTTGCTAAAATGATTGATCCGACGTGGATATCTCCGTCATACCATAGTGGAAATATTTTTTAATCATACGTTAAATTAGAAAAAAGTATTATGAACTGAATTACTAACTCAGCTTCAAAAATCAACTCATGAAGCGCGAATAATATAGTATGAAGATCTAACATTTTAAAAAATAGAAGTGATTTTAAGGTCTATGTTGCAACACAATTGAACAAGCTAAATCCTATATATTGTTCAAATCATAAAAAGAGTCTATAATTTAATGATAGATTAATATTATTAAGTTTATAGATTTGAACTATAATTTCATTGCTTATTAGATTCTGAATAAATTAATTATATAATATTAAGTAAAGATAAATTCTTGTCAATATGAATATTACAATCCAACATCAACAACTTTGATCTTAATAAATAATTATAGACTTTGAATCAAAATTAGTGAATTTTCATGAATTAATAAATTCAATTATAAATCTGCCCCTACTATATTGCATCTTATCAACCAAGGTAAAACACTCTAAAATCATAAGCATAAAAATTGAACTTTACTAGTAACTATAACTAATAAAATGATTTTTTTTTTTTAAATTTCAATAAGTTCAATAAATTAAATAAGGTATCATTTCATTATGCACACCCACCAACAAAAGAAAAAGAGAGAGAATGAAAGTAGATTTTAAAAATTTAAAAAGTCTAATACAAAACAAAAAAGAAATTGATTTGTGTGTTTATGTAATGAACAATATTTTCTTTTAATATGTATATGCCTCATGGCTCTTGAGTTTGTATATAAAAAATATATATTTAAGAAGGCATTGTATATATTAGTCTACACTCTCTTGACATGATTTTAATGTACTATTGATGCATGTATCCAATATATATATATATAAAATTTTATTTTTAATTATTATTATTATTATTATTATTATTATTATTATATAGAGACTATATTTGGAATAATTTCATTCATCCTCAATTAAGTATATAAATTATGTTGTTTATATTTTAATAACAATCCTCCTTTGGGTCAACAACACTTTAACCAACACCTAGGAACCTAATGCTCTAATGTTTGGGTTGGAAATATTTTAGTAGGAACTCCTTACTAGACACATTCCTAACTGTAATAAGTATGTTCCAACAAAACTATATGATATGATTTACGCACTTTTAGGAATAATAGTGTTCATTAGAAATTTTTATTGTCACTAATCTCTTATTGTTAATCTATTGAATGACTTTGAGTTCATTTTTTTTTATGTTTTGAGTATTGTTTGCTTTGGATTGACAATTCTGGGTTATAAGGGTATGCTAGTGTTGGCCAGTAACAACAACAAGAGGTAAGCATTTTTTTCTAATTTATTTATTTTAATATTCATGACTAATAAAAATATTCTTATATTTTTTGTCTTTATTTATGTAGGGGCATTGAACATGTCAAGAAAGAACCTATTTGTATCATTCAAGTTGAACATTTGTATTATTCAAGGTAGGCATTTGTGTTAATACACCATATTGATCTTGTTGTCAAAATCTTATTGCCATATATGATGACTTGAGTAATTTATTTGAAAATTCTAAAATATTAGACAAAGTTGAAAATATGAAAAATTAAATAATAACTTTCAAGCTTAGGATTAAATTTACTACATTCTTAATGTTATTAAGTATCAGATAAGAAAATAATATTTTTTTTTTATTAAGTAAAAAGGCAAAATAGTGAACACAAGAAACTTATATCAAATGTGCAAGAAGAAGTTTATATGCTACATTGATGATGTACATTTGAACACCCTACTTGCTAAAAACATTCACTTTTACTTGTTATTTTTCTTGTATCATAAAGACTTAAGAGAAAAGACATATTAGCTTTTCATATTTTATCGGTAACATTAATTACTTATTCTCCAAATCATTTGTCATGACTTAAGACTATACATCATTATTAACGTATAATATTCATATTAATCATTATTTTCTTTTGAGACATGCAAAATTCAAAATGGCTCAAGTAAGAATGAACGGAAGGAGTATACAACAATGGAAGTAAATAAAGTCACTATTATTTTCTCATTTTTGGGTAGTTATATTTTTACCAAATGGATATTCCCATTAATGTTTGACCTTTTCCTATTTCACAAGGAAAATGTTAAATGGACAATATCATAAAAAGGCTTGAAAAAGCCCAATTAGAAAAGCTGGACCATTTGAAAATGACATATTACTATGGGCCTGTCTTGTTTGAGAGCCCAAAAATTGAAGGAAAAATTACAGACATACTTCACTACCATATATATTATTATTACTTATATTTTAAATATATTACATATCTTACCACTAATTAAGAGTTTTCTACGTATTTTACACTTAGATACATGTATTTTTGCTACTAGATACACAAAATAAGGAGAGAGGCGAGCGAGATTGGGGAGAGAGAAAAGATCGAGATTCGTATGTATCTCAGATACATGTGAATCACACTAGATACATGTATCTGGAGTGATTCACATATATCTGAGCGCCAGATCCATGGGCTAATACACACGAAAAACCAAGAAAGCCGGCTAATTCCTAAAAGTTGGCTTGTAAATGCGAAAATATGCCTTAAAAATGGTGGGACTATACGCAATGCTTCCCCAACTCACGATGGAGGTCCTCATAAAGTTTTTTCAGGAAATTTTTTTGGGTGCTCCAAGGTGTCAGATCCATGGGCTAACACACTCGAAAAACTAAGAAATTCGGCTAATTCCTAAAAGTTGGCTCGTAAATGCGAAAATATGTCATAAAAAAAATGGTGGGACTATACACAATGCTCCCCCAACTCATATTAGAGGTCTTTATAAAAAAAATTCAGAATTTTTTTTGGTGCTCCAAGGCGCCAAATCCATGACTAATATGCACTAAAAACCAAGAAATTCGATTAATTCTTAAAAGTTAGCTCGTAAATGAGAAAATATGCCTTAAGAAAATGGTGGGACTTAAGAAAAGTACCGTGAGGAAAAGATGAAAAAGACTTTGAAAAGAGAATCAAAGAGTGTTTGTAATTGTCGAGGGGGAAACAGATGGTGGCCAGTGATGTGCTATGGTCAGATGTCGAACGATGATGAGTTGGTCCACCGATCAACTCGGGGCTTGGACTAGCTTGGATTGGGGGAAGGCCAAATCCCAGGCTATTGATACGCCTGTAGAACGTTGTCTCCTTGATTGTGGTAGGGAGCGCGTGCCTACGGTGTGCTTCAACATATGTGTGCTCCGGACACTAGCATGCAGACTCCCTATTCGACCCGTCTTGAAACACGGACCAAGAAGTCTTACATGTTTGCAATCAACGGGCGTGTAACCCCGTAAGGTGTAAGGAAGCTGATTGGTAGGATCCTCCTGAGGGGTGCACCGTTGACCGACCTTGATCTTCTGAGAAGGGTTCGAGTGTGAACATACATGTCAGGGCCCAAAAGATGGTGAACTACGCTTGTGCGGGGTGAAGCCTGGCGAGCGAGATATGTTATATATCCCAGATACATACGAATCTACATGGAAACAATGTATCTAGAACAAATTACACCTAAATTTGACCTCATGTATCCAAGATACATGTATTTGGACGTATCCGGAGACACTAAAATCTAGTAAGATATGTAATAGTGCAAACTAGAGTATATCTAAATAATTAGCTCCTAAACTAATGAGATTTATGTAAGTTCCCCAAAATTAAATAGGTATTCTTTAGATAACACGAGTTAGAACAACCATCATAAACTCGTGTTTTATTTAGATTTTTCGATTCCACACTATTTGAAATTTCAAAGTGATCCTACTAACATGATCTTGGGCAATCCTCACATCATCATGAGCTAACTTATGAGTTGAGTTAAACTCAACATTCATTTTTAATCATGGCATCAGAGCCTAGGTTTATTTCAATTTTTTAATCAGAATTTGAATTTCATGTCATATCGTCTACACACTAGATATCAACTCTTGGGTGTGTGATATGAGGGGCGTTAGATATGAATCTCCTTGTAGAATATAACTAGACAATTCTCTTCTTTTAAACTAATTTTTTTTTTATTGAGTTAGATTCAATGTTTATTTACCAATGTAGAATATATTTCTTTTCATAGTCTTATAATTGCCACCTGAAGGAAAAAAAATATGAATTCCAGAAGTAAAATTGTGACTATAATATTGGAAGTAATCTACCTGTAAATAGTGTTAGGCCAGAATCCAATGACCAAACGAGGATGTAATCGCGTAATCAGAGGTCAATTCAGAATTTTAATTTTATCGCTTATAGATAATAATATAACACAGAAAAAGAATACTACTATAGTAATTTTTTGAACTTTATATATAGTAATTAAATTGAAAACAAAAATGGTAGACTTTTATTTTGTTTTGTTTTGGAATTAAAGTTGGAATGCTTCTTTGGTCTATTTTGTGGTAGCTATTATTTTTCTTACTTTAAAAGAGTGCACGTACGGAAATATTTTACGACGAGGCGCAATAGATTATTTTTCTTTGATATTCATTTTGAGCTTCATTAATTCAGAGACGGTAAAATTTGTTAAAGAGAATAGCTTTGGTAGTTTTCATTTTCAGGACTACAACTCGAAATCTCTTATTAAGGATGAATGGTCCTACAATGACTATAAGTTAACTTCTTAGTAATTGCCAAGATGTTTCCAATGATAAAATAATAATTTTTTTAATTAAATCTGAAATACAAGTCAACAATTAACTCATGTACGATTTAACAACCCCAAAGCCATCTTGAATTTTTTATTCAATAAGAAATGTCAATTTTTTTTATGCCTAACAAGTAGTTACATCCCTCTGTCCTATTAAAACTTAATTTTCTAATGAAAGTTTGAAAATTGAAGTTGAAAAAGAATCAAAGGTAAAAGTTACCTTTGTCAACGAAATTAACAACTAAGCATATTGAGTTAATTAACACTAACCACCTCACTATCCTGGCCATTCCGTCGATAACAATAATAACATATTTAGTATTATTCTATAAGTGAAAATCTGAGCAGAATGATATATACACAATCTTATTCTTATCTTGTGAAGATTGAGAGGTTTTTTTTTTCTATAAATGCTCTACTCAAGTAAATCATGATAAAAACAAGGGATAAGCGTTTGAAAAATATCCCAACTTTGGTCGGATTTGTTGTTGCGATACTAAACTTTCATAAGGACTTATTACCTCCCTAGACTATTTAATACCGTATTTTTTACCCCCTGAACTATTTAATAATGTATTTGAAAGGTATATATGTGCCCACATGGACACATTACTATTTATAATTTTGCATCATTTTTTATGTCCACGTGGACAAATATATATGTTTAAAATACGATATTAAATAGTCTAGAGAGGTAATAGGTCCTCATGAAAGTTTAGTATCGCAACAACAAATCCGACTAAAGTTGAGGTATTTTTCAGACCCTTATCCCTAAAAACAAGTATGAAAAGAAATAGTATATAATAATGAAATTGAAGTAAAAACTTGTCAATCACTCTAAATTATCATAATTCTATATGTGACTCGGCAACCACCATAAAAGAATTAAAGAAGAAACACTATACACAATTGAGTTCCTTTGAAATTCTACCAATCACCATAGCTTGATGAAGTGGTCAATCTAGCTAGCTACAACTTGCAATAATAAGATTAAATTACAATATGTCATCAATATATACAAATACAAGTTACAATTGTAAACTTTCAAATGCCATAATTGATATTAGCATATTATAGCTACTTTTCTTCTTTGGTACATTTATATTTCTAAAATGTCGGTCCAAAAAAACATTATTCAAAGACATCAACAATTATCATCATAGTAAGCTTCTCAAAAAGTTTTAAAGAAATATTTATTATATAGAGTTATTTGTTAAGTCAAAAGAAAAAAAATACATTTTTGAATAATAATAAAAACCGATTTCCAAAATTCAAATTATTTTTTTCCAAAAGCATTTTAAAATTTCGGCCAAGCACAAATTAATGTTGTAATATTAACAAACATGTTTCTTTAAATTAATTTCCAAATACATGCAAACAACTACTTTTAAAAAGTAGTTTTTTTTTTCTCGAAAAACACTTCTTATAAAATATACTTTTCAATAAGTTTGAACATTTTAAAACTGTCCTCCTTGAAAGTTGAATCTCAAGACCAAAGACAAAGTAAGACATCGTGTGTACTTGGAATTTATTTACGTTCACTCAAACTTTGACAATTGACAATAACATCTATTTTAAAAATTATATATATGTGGAAATTAGATTATTTATATTTTGAATTATTAATTAGTAAACCGTGTTTCTTAATTGAAAATCTCAGCTCTCTATTAGGGTGTGTTTGGTATGGCAAAAAATGTTTTTTTAGAAAATGATTTTTGATTTTCTTAGATTTAGTTGATTAAAATATTTGAAAAATAATAATTCCCTTAATGAAAATAGAGAAAACAAATGCATAAATGACTTTCATGCTAATTATTGTCTTCTCTCTACCCTTCAACTCTCTACCGACGGGTTCAAGATTTAAGTTTTATAGATTCAGTATTTAAAGTTCTTGGTGTTGAATCCATGATATTTTAAAGTTACTGGTTCATATATTGTTTCATATTTAGTAGTCAAATGAACCATGTTACATGTACCAGTATATGTTGTCTCCGCCTCTGACCCCACAATCATCACTACCACAGTATTTTCCTAAACTATAAACAAATATTTATAAAACAATATTTTTTTATATGTATTTACGAAACACTAGAAAATAAATAAGATAACTATGATGACTTAATTTCCTCAAAAATATTTTTCTTCTTCCTACCAAACACACCTTTTAGGACCATACAAATTATATAAATATAGACAAAATGAGAACATCGTGATCATATAAAACTATTCATACATATTTCTTCTAAGTTACAACAAACTATATTCTATGGCTAACAATAATGAAGAATTTTGTAAAGATTACTTTGAATTAAAGGCACAAGATGCTAGTTACTTTGATTTTATTCGTATTTTCTATTCTAGTAACTTAGATAAAAGAAATTTCTTCGATACATCGATCGGAGTTGCATCGACGATACGAGGTTTTCGCCGGCGATGGCTCATTTTTATCTCCATTGTGTTGCAAAGATTATTGCTTTGGTTCAAAAATCCTATGGAAAATTTAGGTTCTTTTATTGAGCTCTTGCAGAATTATCCTTCTTTTAATGGTGGTTTTATTCAACTTTTCTTCAATATATTACAAGGTACGTACATTATTTCGACTTTAATTATCATTATATATATATTCTCTCTTTAATTTTCTTTCAATTGGTATTCAGAGTTGAGTTATCAAATGGTCACTGTTAAAAAATTTAAAAAGGTGAAATTTTGATAAATTTAGTCTTGTCATCGATGAATTTTATGTTGAAAGTTTTACAGTTAGGACTACATTTTCATAAGAATGTCCTTTTGGAAATTCTTGTTTTTTTTTTTTTTTTTTTTAGTGTTGGATGATTTATCAACTTAGTTAAATTAGTCTTTTGGGATGACTCAATTTGTTTGGAGGGCGGTAATCCACATGGATGACCCGGGATCGATCCCCCCTCAATGCCTTCTGAGACGATCCTATTGAACTCAGTTGGAAAATCAATTTTTTGGTGTCGGAAAGATGACTTGGCATGTCATATCGACTGTTAAAACTTTTGATTTTTTTTTTTTATCATGTGTACCCATAATTAAAATGCTTTCATTTTCAGATTTCTCAATTTTAATAAAGTTTTCTTTGTTTCTTCTTTTATTTTATCGTAGCTGATGGAATATTTTCTAAATTTTTCTGGTGGAAATTAAATTGCTTTAGAGTTTATAGACATGCAAGTAAAATGAAATCAAAATGCATGATTCATGCATAGTACCTAAACACGACATGCATTAATTCTCATTTACAAGTTTGAAAATATAAATCTTCTTTGACTTGCTATGAATAATATTCCGTAAAGTTTATTTTTACTTGTCCACTTTAAAGTTTGTACGTTTCTTAAGAAATAATAGTTAATATGAATATTTTATCATAATATTTATATTAATTGATGTATAATATCAAATCTTGATAAATGATTTGGGGAATAAATAATTAATACTTCATTGAGGGCAAAAGAGGAAAAAACAATAATATTTTTTTTAATGTTAAAAGTGACAAATAACAGTGAAAATCTATTTTTGAAATAATGGATATGTAAAAGTAAATGGAAATAATATCTGAAAACTAGACTTAATTTTTTAATTTTATTTTGATAGACGATGATAGAAATATTAGAGTTAGAGTAATATTCTTTTTAGAAGGGCAAAATTATAGAGTATAGTATTAGACTTCGTAATTGATTCCAAAATGTTACAATAATCCTACAAGAAAAAAGAATTCACCAAATTGAAATATTACGAAACAAAATTTAGTTTTTTTTTTATCTAGTGTTTGATATTTGTATTGGGATTCGATTAAATCTGAATTCTTATTTTGGGATTTCTGATTATGGGTATGTGGAGGGATTCCAACCATCCCACCACAATCCAGATTAGTGAAACAAAATTAAGTTGAACAATGAAAATGTCATGACGTGCATTTCATAATTAATTAATTTTCTACTAATTATCTTTTTCTTTATATACATTGTTTAATATTCACTAGTATTATAAATTCTTAATACTGTCAGTGTATATAAATAGTATATTTCATCGTACAATTGTAGGAAAAGTAGTAAGGCCGGAAAAGTCATCGGAAAAATTCAAGTCGATGATCGGAAATCTTGATTTGAGGGTGGAATTAGACAAGAAAATAAAAATTGGGGATATAAGATATAATCGACACGTGTCAATTATGGCTGCTAAATTATCTTATGAAAATGAAGCACTAAATAAGACAGTAATTCAACAGCATTGGCAGGTAAATTATTATTCTTTATAATAATTATAATATTTTTTTAAAAATAAAAAAATACTAATTAAAATATGCACAAATTGTGTTTTTTTTTTCTTTTTCCTGCAGATGCATTTCTTGGGGTTGCATAATTTTTGGAATGGTAAGCGATCTTTATCTCTTTAAATATATTGAACGATTACGAAAGATTGAATTTAAACGGATAAAAATAAATATAGCTAATAAATGATCAATTTAAATTTCAGTGAGTAGACCGAATCTTATGTTCATGAGTTGATTAGGTATTTTCAATAACTACGTTCAGGTGCAAATTAGAATATGATTTCACTTATATATACTATAAAAGAAACTAGTTTTTTATGTGTGAATGTATTTTTGTATTCTATTTTTCTTAAATTGCTCAGACACCAACCAAACTTAATTAAGAAGATTTCAAAATAGAAAATAATTATAAACAACATTTTATTTTTCTTAGAAAACGTAAAATAAAATGCTGGTTGGTGAAACAATTAGTAATTTAGGTAGGTGATTAGTTTAAACTTATTATATAATTAAGTACATATAAGATTCCATTTTAGGTGATTTGAAGTGATGTCCTCGAAGTGCATTAATTACATAAATTTTAAAATCTAGTTGTAGCTACTTGTAATTAATTGATAAAATTAGTGTTAATTTTTTACTTTTAGCGTTATTATTAAGAAATCAAAACTTTGATGTATGTGCAATAGCTAGCATAAATTAATTTAATATAATAAATATTGCTATATTTTATTGAGTGATCCAAAACATACGGCTTGATCTTTTACCACCAACCTCTCTATGTTGATTTCAAAATAATATTAAACTTTAAATTTGAGTCAAGACATGATCAACACTAATTTATTAAAAAAAAATACTTGATATTTTTTGTCGGTGGAAGCTGTTAGGTATTTCATAAAATTAATTGAGATGCATCATGCGTCCGGGCTGATCGGAACATCAAGATTTTATTTTAAAAATCTCCAACTTATTTGGATTTACACTTATTTTTATTTCCAATACAATAGTGTTTGGGTTTTCTTCTAAAGTAAAGTTAAATTTGGATACAAAATTAGATTATGTACGGTAAATTTTTTTTATTTATACTATCATTATACATTATCAAAGCTATGTACGATAAATGAGGTTCAATTAAATTCCCTTCATCAACAAAAAAATATACCATATATATACATTTTAAAAAAAGTTTGCACACGTATAACTTGTTCAATGCAGTCTTTAATCCCTTGTTCGAATTTTTGATTCCTGCCTGTAATGATATACTGTATATGTAGATATTTTCTTCAAAAACACACAAATACACTCGATTTTCACTTTTCTTTTGTAGTTGAGTTGATTGACTGCCTAACCTTTCACCTTATTGGTAAGGGTTAGACTCCCATCTCGTAATCCCGTCTCCTATTTCCCCTTCCCTTACCTCCGACGTAACAATTAAAATATATTATTATTTTTTGCAGCTTATGAGGAACAATATTCAACCCAAGCCATAATGTTTCAAGACAAAATTGAAGATCCAAATTTAATTGTGGTAGCATTTAGAGGGACAAGCCCATTTAATGCAAATGCATGGATCACAGATATAGACTTGTCATGGTATGAACTTGAAGGCCTTGGTAAAATCCATGCAGGCTTTATGAAAGCCCTAGGGTTACAAAAGCCCATTGGATGGCCCAAACACATTATTAACCAAGAAGCCCAAGAACAAAATAATAGTAATTATAAGGAATTTGCATATTATAAAATAAGAGAAGAATTGAAGAAAATATTGAGCAAAAATGAGAAAGCAAAGTTTATAGTAACAGGACATAGTTTAGGTGGTGCATTAGCAATATTATTTGCATCAATATTAATTTTACATGAAGAAGAGTGGCTATTAGATAAATTGGAAGGAGTTTACACTTTTGGCCAACCAAGAGTTGGAGATGAACAATTTGGGAAATTCATGATGGAGAAATTGAAGAAATTTGATGTGAAGTATTATAGGTATGTTTATTGCAATGATATGGTGCCAAGATTGCCCTATGATGACAAAACTCTATTCTTCAAGCATTTTGGATCATGTTTGTTCTACAATAGCCTCTACTGTGGCAAGGTAAACTTACTAATCTGTATGTACAATACGATTGATTTAAGAGTTTTAGATGATAAATATATAGTAGTACCATTATATCAACTATTCTTGCAAGGACTTGTCATGCTTACATGGTAGGAACTTTCTAATCTCTCTGTATGATCGATTTAGGAGTTTTAGATAATAAATACATAGTAGTAGTACCATTATATCATTATTATTTCAAGGATTTATCATTCTTATATTACATAAACTTTCTAGTCTCGGTCAGTAATGAATCTAAGATTTTAAGATAATAACTTTGGAGTAGTACCATTACATTCACTATCTATCAAAGACTTGTCATGCTTATATGATAGGAACTTTCTAGCTAGTCATGATCGACCTCGATCAGTGAGGAATCTAGAAATTTTAAGATAATGAATTTGGTGGTGTATCATTACACTCACTTTTCTTTCAAGGAGTTATTATGATTATATGATTGGAACTCTCTAGTCTATCACTATATTTGATCTCAATCAATAACACATGTAGAATCGTAATATAATCGATTGGAATAGTCCCATTACATTCACTATTCTTTCTTGTCTTGCTTATATAATCTATCTCGATCAACAAGGAACTAGGACTCACTATTTTCTCAAGGACTTGCTATGCTTATATGATCGATCTCGATCAGTGTAGAATCTAGGATTTTAAGATAATGAGTGTGAAGAATCATTACACTCACTATTCATAACTAGTGGAGATCAGAGTACGAGGGTCAATATATTTAGTTTTTAGCATTAATTCAAACATTAACTATAAAAAAAATTCTAAAATGAATTTTACATATTCAGAAGCTACATAAAAAATATTTTAGATCATATTTTTACAGCTAATATTAAAAGAATATCTTTATTTGTTACTAATTACAGGTTTTGGAGGAAGAACCAAACAAGAATTACTTCTCATTGCTATGGGTTTTACCAAAGGTGTTGAATGCTGTTTTTGAGCTAATTAGGAGTTTTATTCTCCCTTGGATTAAGGGAAATGATTACAAACAAAGCTGGTCTGAGATAATTTTTAGAATGGTGGGATTAATTATTCCAGGATTATCGGCTCATGGTCCAGTAGATTATGTTAATCTTACTCGTTTAGGAACTAATCTTCATCTTCCTCAATCACAAGAAGGTCTTAAACAAGATTAACTTGAAACCCAATTTGTTCCATTATACTCCTTCAGGTTGATGTATACGTTATGATACTTAGCTTTACAAAATTCACACTGATTGTATTAACAAATTGTGACATTAATTTAAGTTTAGAAAGAAGGTATTTTTAACTTTGTATAGGTTTATGGGGCCTTAACAAGATACAATTTCTAAGGTCTCATCGATCCAGTGAATCACTTAAAACTTTAATATGTTTTCGGTGTCATTAAAACTTTAATATGTTTTCGATGTCATCAAGCTAGCTCTGGTAAGCTATTACGCTTTCTTCAAATCGTATCATTATTTGATTGAGCACGGCATGGTATGCTATAGCTATTTAGCTTTACCCCACCATAAGAAAAGAAAGAAACATCTGAACATTACAAAATTGTGCACAATATTACAAAATATTAGTTTCTACTTGTCATAATTAAACATATTAAGATAACATATAGTAGTAAAAATACAAGATGTAATTTGAAGTATAATAATTTCTACGCAAAATCTAGATTGTTGGTGTTCGGGCTAGCTTGTGCATACTTAGATTGTTTTACTTTGTACCTGCTACGTCCCCACCATACAAGTAACTCGGTCCATCAAAACTTGGAAGGATGAGAAGACATCGCTCAGTGGTGTCCACTCTACTGGTATTAACCCTGCTCTCCAATTTATCACCAACTCTTATAGACATGTAGGCCACACCTTGGATGCTATGGAATTGCCACACATCATAACCCAGAGAGAAGGACGGATAAGACTCATGCACCTTTCCGTGATTGACAACCAAAAAATTCACTCACCTTTCACTGATTGAACACCCTACTTGCTAAAACGTTGACTTTTACTTGTTATTTTCTAGTATCATAAAGACTTAAGAGAAAAGACATTATCTTTTCATGTTTTATCTTTAACATTAATTACTTATTCTCCAAATTATTTGTCATAACTTAAAACTATACATCATTTAATAATGGATATTATCTTATAATATTCATATTAATCATTATTTTCTTCTGAGACATGCAAAGTTCAAAATGGCTAAGTAAGAATGGACGAAGGAGCATACAACAATGGAAGTAAATAAAGACTATTATTTTCTCCTTTTTGGGTAATTATATTTTTTACCAAATGGATATTCCCATTAATGTTTGAACTTTTTCTATTTCACAAGGAAAATGTTAAATGACAATATCATATAATAGTATAAATTATAGGAACCACATATTCTAAGTACTAAATGACATCCCATCTCTTCTAGTTTTCTATTTACCAAAAATCCCTTAAAAATGATGTTTGCAGGATACATAGCGTTGTGCACGGGATACATTAAGTTTGATACATTCCACATAGCGGGATACATAACGTTGTGCACGGGATACATTAGGTTTGATACATTCCACATAGCGGGATACATAGCGTTGTGCACGGGATACATAGTGTTTGATACATTCCACATAGTGGGATACATAGTGTTGTGCACGGGATACATGCGGGATACATAGGTAAATAAGGGATTTTTGAAAATTTTAAAATAAGTAGGGATAAATGGATATTAAGGTAAGTAAAATAGTGTAGTTAAGTAATTTGTCCTGGAAAAAAAAAGGCTTGAAAAAGCCCAAGTAGAAAAACTGGAGGCTTAACCCACGGTGGCCACCTAAAGTTGACACAAATTTTCACTTAGACACTTTAATTAAGCTTTGTTCATTTTAGACACCTCATGTCATGCCCCATTATATCTTTTTGACACTTTTGAAAATGATATATTACTATGGGCCTGTCTTGTTTGAGAGCCCAAAAATTAAAGGAAACACTACATACATACTTTATTACCATATATACTATTACTCTATAACTTAGACTAGTATATGTTCTCGCGCGTTGCACGATTAGTAGAGAAATGTGATCATAATTATTGATTTACTGTCATAATTTTTAAAATTTAAATTAATTTATTAAAATTTATTATTCACTTGTTATATATATATATATATATATATTTGCTATAATATTATTTAATAGCTATAATTTGTTACATTTTTAGCTTATAATATATTTATGCTGAACTATTAATAAAGCAGCTTCTTCTTCTTTTTTACAAAACAATCTAATTATAATTTTCACATAATAAAATGTTTAATACTATAAAAATAAAAGTAAATCAAACATTTTACGTATAATTCAAATCTACAAACTTCACAAATATTATTTAATGCTTTAATATATAATTAATAAATGCATTTCATATTTATTATTGGAATTATTTAAATATACCGAGTGAAGCAATTATTTAAGTTTATGTTTAAGTAATTTTTTGTAAAGAATTTTGACTAAGTGGCATTTTATTTATGCACTACAAATAATTGGAAAAAAAACTAAATATAATAAACAGAAGAAACTGAAAAATGTTATATAAAATTGTAATTTATTTTTACAATAAAAATTAATAGTTAAGTGATCTCGGTTATAATATCTGAATATAATTTTTTCTAAAAAAAAAAATACCTCAAATAAAAATAACGTGTCTACGACACAAAAATAAAACACCATTTAGGGCATTTGGATAGTGCCGCCATCTTCTTCTATGAGCTTTCTATTTTTGAAAAATCAAACATTTTCTGACACTTGGCTAAAATCAATCGTGGCCTAAATTATTTTTTGTTATTTTCATTCTTTTATAAGAAAAACATTTGAATTAATAAGATAGCTCTAATCACTTTATCACTAAAAATGAAAGCAGTTAACCTCGAAATCAATTTTTGAACTTTTTTTTTTTATGTTTGCAATTTTTAAGATTTTAAATTGATTTTATTACTTCAATGATTAAAAAAAAATTGTGATGCTACGTGACCATATTTGTCTCTCCTATTTAATATATATAGATATTGAACATAATATTTAGAATTTTCATTGAATATATGTTATTTTTAACTACTCCAAGTACCACTATCCCTTTTTAACTACTGTTATTATTTTCAATTTTTTCAGGAACAGTTATAAATTGCCTTAGTTTGTGGAATCATTACTAAAAAAAAAATTAATTTAAAAATAAATATTTAAGAAAATTAATCTTTCAATTCATTCGGTAGATGTTAATAAATTCAAATAGAAGATTAAATTAACATTAAATTTACAAAAAAAAGTCATCAATAAAGTGAAACTATTGATTTTTATGTTTGTTATATGTGAAAGTTGCTCTTTAAGAAATTGTGAACAATTAGTGTTAAAACGTGACACACCCTAATTTTTTAAATCTGCTTTAAAATTAATTCTCGTTACATTATAAAAAAAGCTTTTATATTATTTTTAAAATAAGCTAGTAATATATTACTTAATCCTATTACATGTAATTAGTATAAAGAATAATTGTGAAATGACCAATTAAATTTTTTGTAGAATAACAATATTTGATATTATTAATTTTGACGTGCATCACAATTGCTTCCTTGATAATTAAATAAAAAACATCACGTTTGATTTGAAAAGACAAAAAAAAAAAGTAATTTAGTGATTATATATAATAATTAAAAAAAAAACATCACGTTTGATTTGAAAAGATAAAAAAAAAAAGTAATTTAGTGATTACATATAATAATTAAAAAAAAACATCACGTTTGATTTGAAAAGACAAAAAAAAAAAAGTAATTTAGTGATTATATATAATAATTAAAAAAAAAAACATCACGTTTGATTTGAAAAGACAAAAAAAAAGTAATTTAGTGATTATATATAATAATTAAAAAAAAACATCACGTTTGATTGAAAAGGCAAAAAAAAAAGTAAGTTAGTGATTATATATAATATAATTATATAAAGTGATTTAGCACTTATATATAATTACCTGATGAAAAACTACTTAAATAAATGAGGTAAATAACAACTGTAGTTTCTATAAAAAGGAGTAATTGGTGAAAAAGAGAGTACGGGGAATATGAAAGATATACATGTAAGTTTTAAAAAAAATTTACCACTCTTGATTCAAAATTTATAATTTCATTTTTAATCGGTATTTTTTAAACCAACTATCCAGATATAACATTGGTTTTAATTCAAAAGTATTTTACCATCTCCGATTTGAATAAGAACTAGTTTATTTGATTAAACAAAGTAAACCTTTTATGGTGTATTTTATAGAGATATAATAACATAAAAATAGGCTCTAAAACTGATTTTTAGTGTATAAAGAGAGTTATTTATCATTTTCATAAAAATACACTTTGTATAAGTGAATTCATGGGATATTTATTATTTTATTATATAATTGTAGCATATATTGACAATGGATATTAAGTAGGCGTTTGGTCATGCGATATCATATCATGATATGGTATTGTGAGATGGAATCAGCATTTGGACATGCGATTTTACGCCAATTCCATCTCATGATTCCATATCATGAGATGTGATTTCATATTCTCCAAAAACCATGATATGAAATTATATGGTAATTCCATATCATGATTTGAGATATTTTAATACAAAAATTGATCAACGAGTTTATATTTTGTTAAAACAACCCCACATTTATATCTACCAACCATTTATTTCATATATAAATAAAATTTATAATTACATCATTATTTTTTAAAATTTATTATTCTCACCAACATATAGTCACTTTAACTCACGCCAACCGATTGTTAAAATGAGGAAATATTTATGGTCTATGAGCATGAACATATAGTTGCGGATGATATTGACCAACAAATGGCTCAAAGTAACAATGTTGGTTCGTCTTCTCGGTCACATGATCGAGAAATGCAAGTTCAACGTGAGGAAATTGTCCGTACTATGTGGGAGGATTATATTAAAGACTAGTACACTACAATTTATGTTCAATTTTTTTTATTAAATTAAAGTTAGATGAAACAATTACTTAAGTGAAGAACAAATGGCTTTGTAATAATTTATTACGCGATTTTATAAATTTTTGTTTATTTGATAAGATTGAATAAACAATTGGGGCTATTTTAATAGTTTTACAATTTATGGAATTTTTATGTTTATGAGAAAATATAACACAAAAATTTCATATCGCATATCCAAACAAAACTTCAATTTCATCTCATGATACCATAGCGCATGGCCAAACGGGCCCTAAATGTGCATTTTCTTCCTCATATGAAAATTCCCCCTTCTCTCTTTGTTTCTTTTATTTTAAGGGGTTAATTAAGATGTAGTGTAGCAAGCATGTTTGGATATCGCTATTACATT